ACCCCCCCCCCCCCCCCCCCCTTCCCCCCCCCACCCCCACCCCTCTTAGTGTCAATTTCAATCCAAATAGAAAAGTGTCTGAGGGCAATGGGAAACCCAAAGATAACTTTCAAGAAGGAAAAGGGCTTTAACCCAAATCATGATAATATCTTGGTGGTCTCTGTAAGGATGATTAATACCCAAGTGAAAAGGATCATGATCAACACCAGTAGCTATGTCAATATTTTTTACTTTAATATTTTTCAGAAACTTGGGCTATCAACTAATACCTCATTAACTTCTTCGCTAATGAGGTTTATTGGGGACTCTATCTCCCCTTCGAGATTGCGAACATGTATGTCACATTTGGATACAAGTCATACTTCAAAACAATATTGATTAAATTCATGGTAATGAATATCCTCTTGATATATAATGCTAAACTAACTCATGCTAAACAGATTGAGGGTGATGTTATTAATTTACCTGATAAAGTTTCAGACAAGAGTCGATATCAAAGAGCTAAGAAGCAACCTAAGAGACTCATGTTAGTGCTACTTGACGACAATCTCTCTATCGAAGAAAGCCCAACTTGAGGCACCAAATGGACCCCATGACTTGGCCAAGTTTGTCCCATATCCTCAGGCAAGGTGAATTCGAGAAAATGTAGAACAAACTTTCTTACAAATTATTTCTCCAAGATATTAAATCAGACATAGCATATGAATTATATATATATATGGGCATCGACCATTACTTGAAAAATACACATTTTTTTCAATAAACTAGATATTAAAAAATATTTTTATAATGATATTTAAAGCATAAAACTAAAAACCAAGAAAGATGCTCGAGAATATCTTGGGAAGAAATTTTATTAGAAGTTCATTGTGTTTTCTTATACATATGGAACATCTCCATCAATTTCATTTCCGAAATAAATGTATACTTCTCGTACGCTCCAACACTTTTAATTTGTCTTAGAGTTTATCTTCACGACTCGGAATCTAAATTATTCGTATATCAAAGAAATATGCCCATTGTTCCTTGTACTCATCATCTCATTGGAGCTCTCCAATAGATTTACTCCATTTTGATGCAACATGAATTCCTCCTTTTTTAGACATCCTTATCTTGGAAGAACATTGCATCTACATGATAGATAGAAAGGAACACAAAGCATAAGCACTTTGTGACATGATGCAAAGTAATCCTTCGCATATTCCTCTTCTCTTTTCTGATTTGATTCTTCTCCCCACCACGTCTTTCGAGAAACCTCACTGTCCTTTGATGCCTTCATTCGTGTAGCATAATATGATAATATTTTGATTGGATAATCGGTAATCTTACAAGTTTAAATTGTTAGGAAAGAATCCAATATTATTTTTTTGCATGTCCAAATTAGATTAGATTAGGTTTGAAGCATAGATCAAAACGTTGTAGTATAATTCAAGAGAAGGACAACGCAAAATTATCAATTAAATATGAGACAAAATATAGAGGGACAAATACAAGCTTTATATTCCATCAAAACATTGATGGAATGCAATGCTTAGTAAAATCGTATCAACAAATTTTGAGAGAAAATATATAATGAATAAAAAAATTAAGATTCAAGACTTTTATTTTAAGGTTTACTTATCCTTCTTTTTTTTTATTACTTATCGTCAATCTAATGCATTAAAAAAAACTCTTAATCAATTATTGATGAAAGAAATATTTTGTTTTAAGATTTAATTTCATTTCTTATCCTTACTCTTGTTTCATTATTTTTTGTATTTATTATAATTTTTGATATTAAACAAAATAAATTCTTGAAAAAAATTTATATTTTCAATAAATCTTCGCATAACATCCCAACTTTCAAAAATTTTCGTAAAGAATATTTTATCATGTAAAAAGATAATTTTACCCTTAATCTTATTGGACCTCATCTTGGTCTGAACCATGCACATCTCTATTGAAATGATGAGTCTGACAAAATTATTATTTATAAAAAATATATTTTATAAAAATATTTAAAAAATTAGGATGTTAGTTTATCTTTTGGATTGGTTGATAGATAAAAAAAAATTTCATGTATTAGGTAAAAATATACTATTAGAAAATTTTAGGAAATGAGTGAGGTTTCTCTCTTAAAAAAAACTAAAAAGAAATTCTTTTAGAATTTCACTATAAAAATAATATTTATCTTACGGTAACCTCACATAAGGGTGACCATATCCAAAAAGACACCGACTTTTACCGATTTACGCGGCGACTAGAGCAACCGCGACGAGGAAAGCGGTCCGCGTCGATGGCTCCCTGCCGACTCCACCACCGTCCGTCCGATCATCATCAGCCAGCGAGATCGTCTGGTGCACGGATATTGAGGGACACATACCGCATCATCACCGCCCATTCTGCTGAGTCGAAGGAGGGAGACCCCAATTTGGGAGCCTTGCGTTGTCTGCCGCCAGTGAGTAATTTCATTTTGGTCCCTGACCAAAGTTAAATTTCTACGAACGTTCAGTGTCAGATGTTAATTACTTTTACATTTCTACCCCTGGAAAGGGGCGATGTACCGACACGTATGATGAATGCACAATTTGTGAATGCTCAGGGTTGAAATCAGAAAATGCCCTTTTCTTCCACAACAGAACGGGAAAAAGGCCGGATTTTTACGAGTGAATACTGGGAAGTTCGATTCCGTGGAGAGAGAGAGAGAAAGTCACAGCGAGAGTGAGAGAGTAAGAAGAGAGAGAGGGGGTCCGTGGACACTAGCTTTGGGCTCAAGCCATTTGCTTTACCCTGTTTGGCGGTTTTGGTGTCGCTGCAAGGGGAAAAGGAGAGATGATCTGGATGAGTATGTGGGTTTGAAGAGATATCGTCCTACGACCAGGAACAGCAGCCGAGCGGTGGGTTCTTGTCTCTTTGGGACTGAGGCCGATCGATCTTGTTATCTACCCTCATTTATTGCGAGATTTGGGGGTCGGATTGATTGCAACTGAGTGTGAAATCGGCGGACAAAAAAAAATTAAATCTTTCGCTGTTTCCTCAAGGAAAAATCTGATATTTTTTTCCCCCTTGGTTTTGGTAGCGAAAGAACAATCCGCCGTAACTGCTGTCGATCGGCAAAAAGACCTGTACCCATTTGATTTTTCCCGTCACCGGACTCGGAATTGGCGATCAAGATTCGATCTTGGAGTCGATTCCTGACCGGGAACTGCCTGATTGACACGGATTTAGCCTCGTAGACATCGGATAGCTCTCCGCCGGTGTTCTGGCCGCCGGAGCTCGGGCCGTCGCCGCCATGGCGAGCTCGTCCAGCTCGGTTGATTACTGGAGGAGGTTCTTCCGGAGCGCCAATTCTGATATCTTCGAGGTCATCGAGCAAGCGATCCTCGTGGCGGCGTCGGATTACCCCCAGCAGTTCCGGAGCAGGAGGGATCAGATCGTGGAGAAGATCTTCACCGCGCTGCTGCCGCGGTGCTTCGGCTGTGACCGGGTCGAGCTGCGAGGGGCCGAGGGGGAGGAAGGGCACGGCAGCGTGCGGAGGGTCGGAGAGAAGGAGAGCAAGGTGGACAGCAGCAACGACGGGCCCGAGTTCTCGAATCGGGTGGTGAGCAACTACTCGTACGACGAGGCAGAGGCGCTCACGGAGGAGATCGAAGAGGAGGGTCAAATCGTTGGCGAGGTCATTAGGATCAAGGAGATCCTTGCCAACCATCATGAGGAGGTTTGTTCATGCCTTCTTTTCTTTTGCATATTGCTTTGCCTTCAATCACTAATGCATTACGAATCCAAGAATTCATTTTGTATGCATCTATTGGGTTCAATTCGAGTAAGATTGTTGTGCTCTTTCTTGCATCATTTAGGCGATTAGCTGCCTGTGCTTAAACTTGTTGGTGCTTCTTTGCAGTCTGATAATTTCTTGTTCGAGTCACTGAGGAGGCTGCAATTGATGGAGCTTTCTGTTGATGTCTTGAAGGTGTTGATTTGACATTCCTCTTTATTCGGTTTGTTCCGTGCCGGGCTTAGGATAAGGATACATAAATTTAGGTCCATATTATTCTATTAACTCATTGATTTTTTTGTTTTCCTTTGGTCCTTAGGCGACCGAGATTGGAAGGGCTGTCAATGGCCTCCGTAAACACAACTCAAAGCAAATTCGCCACCTAGTTCGCGCTCTCATCGAGTGAGTTTCTTTGCTGTATTGTAATTTCGGATGATGGCAAAACAAATGATACATTTGATCAAGTTTGCACACTGATTTTAATCTCGTGAATGGGTACAAATTTATGTTATCATTTTGTTTCCCCTGTAAAAAGTTTGTGATCCCTGCTTTCTTGATGCTTTTTCTATTATGTTTTGGCTTAGGTCAAGTGTATGATTGTACTCTCTTTGGGGGGGGGGGGCAGTTTTTAGTCTTCTTTCACTACCTACAATCCAATTTTAGTTTCTACTAAATTTGCCTGCAACACTATGTATTTTAGATTTAACATTGTATGGAAACATCTCCGTCGTACCTGAATCAGAAATCGCTTCTTCGATTCTCTTGCATTAGATGATGGAAATTCTTTCGCCTGTTCAGTGTCAAATTTTACACTTCCATATGTGGAATCAGAAAAAAGGAAACAAAAAAAAATACACCTTTTTTTTAGTTCAAGGTGCATACCGATCCTTTGGAGACATTTCTAATTGCTCTGGTATGTGTTTGCATTGCAGTGGTTGGAAGGTTTTGGTTGATGAATGGGTCAGGGCTACTGCTGCCATTGCCGGTATACTATATATTTGTTTCATTTCTAGCGTCGCCCTATATTATATGATCTCGTGCGGGCAACTATGAACCTATGATTGACAGATAACTCCCCGGACTCTGTAAATCCTTCTGTCGTGGATGATGAGGATGGCCTTCCTTCTCCCCCGTTAGATGAAGGAGCTCTATTCGCCACTCAGACAACTTCCATCCAGCTCTCCGAGGTATAATAGAAAATGTCTTGAGTGTTGTCCCTTTACTTATTGCGATTAGTCCAATCTCCACCTTTGCATGCACTAACTGTTCCTGTTGTATGTCTTCACTCTTGGGATGTCAAGTTCTTTGATGGAATGGATGACGATGGAAGTGAGTTCTTTGTCTTGCCCGTTTACCTTCTGGTTTTCCCTTCTTGTTGAGTTCTCCGGTTTAATAATATCATCCTTCTGCTGGCAATTTGCTGCAGATTTTCGAAATAATGGGGAGTTTCACAAGAGGTGGGAACATGGAAGACGACCTACAGAGAATCATGAATCATTAAGGAAACAGCAGCCGATGCAACAACCTTTTACTCGAGAAGAAAAAGTGGAGATGAAACAAGATCCGGAGCAGTCTATTTTTGCAGAAGGGGTGGGACACTCGAGGCGGCAAGAACCACATCGATCAGCTACCCCAGAAGAGAAGCTAAGAAGACAAGAACCACAAATGAGGCAATCAAAGCCACATGAGATCTGTATCGGGCAAGCAAAGTCCCAAAACATTCTACCCAAGCAAAGCAACCCTGTGATTTCTGAATCTGGGCCTGGAAGACCAGTTAAAATTGGCTTTGAGCAAAAAGTATGCAATGAAGCGAAATTTAAACAGCCACCAGACACTGCTGCACTTCGAAGGAAGCCACCGATGATCCCACGGGATGTAAGTTCAGCCAAACACAAAATCTATGATAGGTTCTAAAGAGCTCGAAGTCTAAGCTTTTCCATGTTCTGTTAGAAATCAAAGTACTCTGAAGAAGCTCCCGTTCAGGCTAAGCTGGAAGCCACAAAACGGAAGCTTCATGAAGGATACCAGCAAGCCGAAAATGGTTTGTTTAACTTCAATCTATTGCTTCGAATATTTATCATAGTGCAATTTAAGAAGTTAGATTTCGTCGATGCCTTATGTTTCATTTGATGCAGCAAAAAAGCAGCGAACGATACAAGTAATGGAGTTACATGACATTCCAAAGCAGGCACACAACAGGCATCCTATTCTGAAATCCAGAAACCACCTGAGGAATTGGGCAAATGGGCGGCACTAGTTCCGTCGATTATGTTCGAGCTGAGCTCAGTCGCAAACACTAAACCCGAAAATTTTCCTGATAGATAATTAAGTCGAATTAATAACATATCACCATGCAATGATGAGTTGACAAAATGGATTTACAGAAGCTGGAGGGCCATAAGAAACTGATTGTACATTTTGGTTCATTTGAGAGAAACTGCTGAAAAAAATGTATAGAATTCGACAGATCATCTCTCGTCTCTGTTTCTTGATCTCTTTTTCTCGGTCTCTGTATGACATAAAGTAACATATCTTACTTAACATGCAAAATGAGCATTTTTTCTGTTGCAAATGGCATCGACTGATTCTTGCATGTGTAACTATTACATCGATTGATGGTTATATTAGGAGGACCAATGGAGACAGTGCTAAGATCATGCTGTTCCTCGTTACTGGCTGTTCAGTGCTGCCTCAAGAATTGGTTTATGGATGAATTGATCGATGAAGAGGACATATCACTTTTTTGTGATCGACTTTGGCTTTGGGAAATTGTTTGGTAGGTTTAGATCTACTGTTCTCGAGTGAAACCACCATGAAAAATTACATCCCGCAAATAACTTTGCTTCTCCTGATCTCTGTTCTGTTCCTATCAAAGCTAATGACATCAAGTGCAGGAACCATAGCAAAGCAGATGGCCACCAACCATTCTAATCACAGCCCTTGTGGCCTCAAAACCCCATTACGAAACCAGAAGAACCTGTGAAGTCGTATTTACTTCACAGGCACGGAAGACGAGAGTCTGAAATGTCTGCTAAAGCGATGACATTTAGACCTTTCTTTCAGGGAAATAGGAGAGGGAAAACATGGAGGAATGGACTTATGACCAATGACCATGATCACGCGGGCACGTCTTCTTCCCCACTGCAACTCCCAGTCTTGTCGCCTTCTACCTTCACCGACGCACCATTATTTTCTCAGCCTCTTTCTTTGACTACGGAATGTGGTCTCCTTTCCCACTCTGTTATCAGTCTCTCCTCCGTCCCCCCCTCCCCCGTGGAGCTTTGCTTACGGAAGTCTGAAGACTTGGCTGGTCCACCACGAACAGGGGGTGCACCTTCTCACCTTGTGTTGGTGCTCAGCTCATGAATCTTCTTGGCAAACTACTCGTGTTCATGTCGGCGTTATCAACCACCTCAGAGTTCAGAGTTCTGCTACCACTAAACGAGGGATCTGTGAAGAAGAATCCATGAGGGATGAAACAGAGTTGGACACGATTCTTGTGATGTAGCCTAATGGAGGTGCAAGAAAGCAGACATTAAAGTTGCAATGGGAAAGCTAAGAGAGAGGATTTAGCTATGTCGGCACATCAAAAGTATTCATTGATGTCATCAGATCATCCATTTCTGCCGGCCATCCAATTAGGAATCGGAAGGAATGGATGACTTGCGGGGAGAGAATTGCAAGAAATTATCCCAACAAAGAGCTGAGGCATACATCCATAACCCCATCAAATGTACTAAAGCACTTCAGACCACTTTGTTGTCATTCAATCATTCAAACAGTTGAGGAGTAGGTGGACAACTGGTAAATGTTCACTAGCAGAGTTATGACTTTCATTGAACATTTTTCTCTCTAAAAAAGGCACTTTTGCCAAACAAGAGAGAAAACATCAAGGAGACAATCCATACATGAAATTGATACGAGCCATTGTTTAGTACTACATGCTGCTAAAATTCAACAATTATGACTGTAGTGGTGGGTGTGCACAAATGCTGGTGCTCCTCCTACCCACCAAGAATTGGGCAGTGTTTCTTGTGAGAGAAAAAGATTGCCCCTGTTCAACTACACAATTTGGGAGGCAATAACCCTTATATGAACTCTGTTGTCGATAGCTTGGTTCATGTTGTTGGTCTCCCTGAGGATGCACTGGAGACCTACAAAGATAAATATGGTGAAGCTGAACTCCACCCCTAAGGCCTTGTCTTATTAGCAGTTGCATGCTATGATCCTCATATCAAGAGTAACCATGTGTGCATGTTCTTGGCCACTATGTAGTACCCTGATCTGATTTCTCTAACAAGCATTCATAGATTAGGTCGGGTGTACCAAATATCCTGATACACCAGGCCGAAGATGAGATTGCAAATGACAGTCCATATTCCTTTGCATGCAAAGAATAAGATAACAAACAAAATATAATTGAAACTGGCTTCTATCTCCTATGGCAAACAACAGAAACACATGAAGAATCCACATCGATCAACCACATACCTGATCTGTCCAGTTCCCTCTGTACTGAAGTTAATGCCATCTCCTGATCCCAAAAGACCATATTCAGTTTGCTTTCCGTATGGTTCATGGTATCATATCCTAATTTCACACCAATATCTGAGTCATCAAGTCTCCATAGCCTCGCACCAGCATTCTCATCTAAACCTCTCATAGCAAGATATGCAAAATTCTTGTGTTCCATTTCCGGAGAATTGGTTCCAGTCAGGGACTTGCACTCTGCTGCCACCTTGTGTATATAATCATCATTCCATGTTTTCAAAGAAGATGGAGAGCTCTTCACGAACAACAGCTCTGCATTTTTTGCAATAGCAAAGTCATATGACGGATTTGGCAGCTCAGGTAATAAACCACTACCTGGAATCATATTGCCATCGATCAACCACAAGTCATAACCAAATTCCAGGCACTTTTGAACTGTAGTGGCTTTGATCCAGATCTCTTTTATGATGTCTGGTTCATGTTCAAGATCTATTGACTTGACTTGTCTAATGCTAGAAACCAACTGACTTGTATCAACTACAGGATATCCTCTCCTGGCAAGGTCAATCAATAACTCTGGAGAGCCACCAAGGAGAATGAAGTTTACCAAACCAACTTTTTCAAGGTTGCAGATCAAGTTTCTAGCAATCCTTTCTGTTGTCTGGTACAAACTTATTACAAATATTGTTTTCTGCTTCAAAGAGTGAAGTATAGATCTGAGTTGATCAAAGTTACTAACAATTCTTCCTGGATGTGTCTCCGCGAAACAGAAATCGTACCATTTTAAGTTCCTTAAAGGTGGCAGTTCTGTTAGACTGAAATCAAGAGATTCATCCACCAACAAACTCGAATCAGGACCAACCGTCTTCCCATAGTTTACACCTGCATCCCTGTGAGAGATGCTAAGGGCTCTTTCTTGCTTAAAGTTTGTGTAAAGATTGTAGTACCCACGTGCATGAATGAATTTGATGAACCAAGGAGTCCATATTCTCTCACCAAACCTTTTGTACCATCCTGTAGTCACCTGCAAGCATAGTAAAAAAAACAAAAAAGGAAAAGAGGCAAGATTCTCATAAGACCCATATGCCAAAATACAAATTAATAGGACAGGAGTAGAATGTACATTCTTGGACAAAGTTAAAAACAAAATCTTAATGTGCCAATAAGGCTCCTTATATTCAGGGGCAAAAAAATCCTTCTATTAAAAGAACTTACACAAAACTATTTTTGCTGCCTGGAACAAGTAAAATTACCATGCCTTGCAGGATTGGTTTGATTTCTTTGGCTTTATGTTCATCATACCACAGACGGAATTCGTTCCAAGGTTTTGGAAAAAGAAGCTGACCCCATGTGCCAACCATCTGGTATAAGAAAATGCGTGTTTCACTGCTCAGTTGCAACTTGTTTCCTTTTTTACCTGCAATATTTGTAAAATGAGAACCAAACATTGACCATAAGTGACCTTTAACTTCACAAAAAATTGACAAGAAATTAGCCTCAGAAAAGAAGTGTGAACTGTTATGAAGAAAATAAAGGCAAAAGATGCACTTAAAGAATAGCTTGTGCCCTCATATACTACTTGTTAACAGCCTCTTTGATAAATGTTCCACATAGGTAATTTACAAACACAATTTTCAACAGACACAACCAAATTTGTCCACTAGTTCAAATCCAATAACCTAGAATTGAAAAAGGGAAGAAATTCCCATTTTATATCAAATAGTTATAAAGTAACTTGGGGATATGGTATTCCAAGAAAAAAATATATATCATAATCACATTGTTAAAAAGAATAAAGAAATACGTAATGCGCATTAAGGGCATTTCATGCAAGAAGGTGAAGCCAACCTTCATCACATAGGAAAGATATATAGGGAGTCCAAAGACTCCAAGCATTTGGAAAAGATTCATCCCTACTGAAAATATTTAACTCTTCACGTCTCCTCTACCACCACATCATTAATGCTTTCTGATCAAACTACAGCAGAAATTTGACAACAATATATACAATAACGTGGGAGAAGTAGAGCAGTAATACATGAAGAGTAGGTATGCCTGAAAGGCAATTAACAAAATGCTCAACGTTAATGGAGATGATGCAATTACATTAATATCTATGGATGACATAGTAATAGAAGTTTAAATAGTGCCTTTGTGCGTCGTGACAATTGCACCCAAAAAGCAAAAAGTTTCAAATCAAAATCTGACACAATGGCACCAAGATTAACTATATAATCAATTAGAAGAAGCAAATAAGTTCTAATTGGAATACACCACACCTCACAAGCAGGGTTAGGCTGGGATGGAAAGCTAGATAATCTTGACTTCTATTGAATGCCAGGAAAGAAGTGTGTATCCTCAAATACTGTTTTCCACAGGAATCTGTTAGGCTCATAGTGGTAATCTCAGCAAGATTTTTCTCTGTTATTTTTACATTTTGATTGCCAGAAAAATATTTCACAACAAAATCTTCACGAAGACATAGTTTAAGTAGAAAATAAACTTAGTATTCTGTAATTACTATTCACTGGAGCACTCCTGTAAGACAAACGAATGATACAGAATCCAAAAAGAAAAAGGAAAAATGGTGCTAAATGTGCAACTTTAACAATCCTATGTTCTTCAGAATTTATGCATCATGCCATTACTTGCCTAAACTAAGCCCAATTTTTTTAGGTATAGTCAATTTTGGTCGGAATTGAAAAGAACTAAATAGCAAAAATGAGTTAGAACCAAGAAAATAAGAGGATTTATCATCATACCAGCAACGAACCTCGGCCGCTGCAGCGATGCCCCGTAGATGGACGCATTGTAGTTCGCCGGGTCGTAGTAGTACTTCAAGATCAGCCGTTTCAGGAACTTATAGTACAGCGGCGACAGCTCGAGGTCATCCTCCACCACGAAAGCGAACTCGTCGTCGGAGCTCGGCCACCAGGCCTCCAGCCACTGGGCCTGGAGCCCGACGTTGGCCGTCCGGTAGTGAACGATCTTCTCCCCGTGGACCCACCGGAACCGGTCGATAAGATCCAGGATCCGGCGCGACTCCTCCAGCTTGCGGTCGACAGAGGGGGCGGACGATCCATTGGCGGGGCGGAAGTGGTCGACGAGGACGTGGAGGTGGACGCGGTCGCCAGCGTAGTCGGCGGTGGCAAGGGAGCGGAGGCAGCGGCGGAGTGAGTCGATGCGGTCGAATGTTAGGAGTTTGATGATGAAAGTGAAACGAGGATTAGGATTATGGTTTTCTGAGAGGAGGAGGGAGGAACGGGAGGAGGAGGATGTGGTGGAGTGGAAGGAGAAGAGGACGAGGAGGGCGGCGAAGGAGAGGAAGAAAAGGAGGGGAAGGAGGGGCCTCCGCTTCGGTTGCATTCTACAGAAAATACCTATTAGGGTTAGGGTTCGAAGGAATCATCCAAAATTCCTTCTTCTGGGAATAATTCTTCTTCTTCTTCCTCCTCCTGTCTTCGGAGTGCATCGACGGAAGCGTCGGAGATCGATCTCAGATTTACGTGTTCATTCTTTCATCTGCTGTCTTCCCTTCTCGCTTCAATAGGTCGGGTTAAATGTAATCACTTCGTGATTCAACTCGAACTCGGGTTGGTTCTCCGTCCATCAGTATTGCAAGTGCTTTAACATTCGCACACGATGACGATGGACGCCACCGACATCCGTGCGAGTGAGCCAAGGAAATAGCTTTGACTTAACATCGCTGAGGTCCGTCCATCTTCCGGGATCGTTATTCTTCCAGGTTCGCTCATGATTTTGATGGGCGTTGTTAAGATTAGTGCGCTGACCCGATAAGTGGCTTAGATTCTTCCATTGTGACCGACCGAGCCCGGGTCGCGAATCATCAGCCACGCGCCGACGTTAGGCGCTCCAACTCATCCTAGCCGTCCGATACTTTTCGGTCCGACCGTTGTGATCTCACAGCGCGCACAATTCGACCGTTGGAGATGGAAGAGAGAGGAGGCACCTTATGGATGCTTTTAACGCCTCTCCTGCCTCTTTACTCCCCTTCTTTATTAAAGGAAGAGAACGCAAGCACACCTTCAAACACATACAGAAGGCGGAGAGAAACTAAAGAAGGAAGAGGACGAATGAGAATGATCTTGTAGAGTTAGGAGAACGAGATTGCGGTGTAGAGACTCCGTTCTTGTTCTCTGCGAGTTGGGAAACAGAGAAAGAGAGACAGAGACAGAGCCTCTGGGACAGGCGATCAACGGTGGCGAATCCTAGAAGCCTTCGTTCGTTTTTCTCGTCGGTGTTGTCGAGCCGTTTCTGGAAGAGCTGCCAACAAGAAGCAGGAGGAGAAGGAGAAGGAGGAGATAAAGAAGAAGAAGGCTTGATGGAGTCAAGGCATCTGCAGGCTCCTGTGGCAACTCTGCAGCAGAGAGGTGAGTTTTGTTCTGTAATCAGGAAGTCATTTACGAATGCTCCTCACTTGGTGTTTCTCTTTCTTGATATCTGGGTTCTTGTTTTGTCTCACAAGATAGCCCTCTTCCATGGAACCTTTTTCTCTCATTTTGAGTCCCACTGTTGCGGTATTCTTCCCCCTTTGTTCCTCTTCTGCTTTTTAATATGCAAGATGCAACATCTTCTTGTGGGTACTTGTGATCTGGGTCTCTTGGATACTTGATGCAAGGTGAGACCTTTTGTAGCCTTCGCTGCCTGGATATAGTTTCTTTCTGTTTAGGAGTTTGGATACCTCGTGATTTCTACCTTTAAATTGTATCTCTCACCTTTCTTCTAGATCATCTCGTTCTTGATCTTGGACACTCTCTTTCTTTCCCAATTTCCAATTACCTGCTTCTTGAAGGCTTCTTTTCTCTCGATGTCACTAGTAATTCATGTGGTCTCAACAACCCTTTGATCATCAGGTGCTGCTGCTTCACCAGGCAGAAAGCAGAAAGCGGCCGCAGGAGGTGACGAAAAGAACCGAAGAGCGCTTGGAGACATCGGAAATCGTGTTAACTTTCGAGATGTCGACGGGCAAGTATCTAAACGCCATTTTTCCACAAGAATAGTCCTTTGGGTTCAAATTCATTTCAATCCCATAGCTTCTGATTCTTCTGTTCAATCTTCGATCTTCTTCTTGCCTGACTCCAGAAAAGTGCAGCCTCAGATTTCTCTCCCTGTGGCTAGGTCGGTTCAGAGCCAAAAATCTCATTTTTATATCGTTGGATGGAGTATGCTTTAGTTTCTTGAAGGCTTTACAATCATCTACTTACAAATCTCATCCCTGTTACAAGATTTGCCGCTCAAGTGTTGGAGAATGCACAACCTGCCGAACCTGATAAGGCATATATCTTTCCCTTTGTTGTTTTACCATATGCTAGTTCTGGATCAATTATACATACATAATATTTCAGAAGCCAGCATTTGTAGCTGCCAATGTAAGAGGAAAAGAAGGTGCGAAAGCTGCGAAGCAGAAGGCTGCAGTCAAGCCAAAAACTGAGGAAGTAATTGAAATCAGTTCAGGAGATGAAGGTGCAAAAGCTGCTGAGCAGAAGGTCTCAGTAAACCTCAAAACAGAGGAAGTAATTGAGATCAGTTCAGGAAATGGTGATAGGAGAACTTCCAGGAAGAAGGTTCACACCCTCACTTCAGTACTTACTGCTCGAAGCAAGGTAAACCACTTTCACGTTCTTTCCTCAACACTATCATTCTTGAATAAGATTTGCCTCTGATATATACTGCGATCTGGATTTAGGTTGCTTGTGAAGTCGTCCATAAACCAAACAATCTGGCACACGATATTGATGAGTTGGATGCAGACGATGAGTTAGCTGTTGTCGATTATGTGGAAGACATATATAGCTTCTACAGATTCGCTGAGGTACTTCACTTCCCCCAATCCAAATTCCACTGAGCTGCATTGTACTACACACGCCTTGGTTGATTGCATTTCTCCTCCTATTGTTAATGCAGAGATACAGCAGACCTCGTGATTACATGGGTTCCCAGGTCGAGATCAATGCGAAGATGAGATCGATTCTTGCCGACTGGCTGACTGAAGTGCACCGCAAGTTTGAGCTGATGCCCGAGACACTATACCTAACGTTCTACATAGTCGATGCATACCTCTCAGTGGAAACTGTTCCGAGGAGGGAGTTGCAGCTTGTGGGGGTGAGCTCCATGCTCGTCGCCTGCAAATATGAGGAGATATGGGCTCCTCAGGTATCTTATTCGACTGGTTTAATCTCGATCTGTTCGCTTTTACTGTGAATTGAGCAAATGGGAGACGTATGCATGCATGCAGGTTAATGACTTCATCTACATTTCCGACCGCGCATATGGCAGAGAGCAGATCCTGGCGACAGAGAAAGCAATCTTGAACAAGCTTGAATGGAACCTTACTGTTCCCACGCCGTATGTTTTCCTTGTGCGTTTTCTCAAGGCGGCCATGTCCGATAAGGAGGTGAATGCACGTACAGATTGTACACATAGCAATCGATTCATGTGATGTGCGTCACTCGTTCTGCTGATACAGATGGAGAACATGACATTTTTCTTCGCGGAGTTGGGTTTGATGCACTACTCGATGGTCATCAAGCATCGCCCGTCCATGCTCGCTGCCTCGGCGGTCTACGCCGCACGGTGGACGCTGGAGAGGAGCCCCCGGTGGACCGAGACGCTCGAGCGGCACACGGGATACGATGAGCTGCAGTTGGGGTATGCGTCGTGAAACCATTTGTTGGATTCTGATATCGGCTTGATTGATCTCTATCGTTCGTCCAACGAGAACGCTGATGATGAACACGGTGTGTTTTGGAACAACAGGGACTGCGCGCAGCATTTGCTGAGCTTCCATGCGTCGGCCGCGGAGAGCAAGCTCAGAGCCGTCTACAACAAGTACTCCAGCTCGCGACGAGGAGCTGTCGCGTTGCGTTCTCCCGCTACGAAGCCGCTTTGAGGAGTTGAAGTCCTACTTCATTGGAGTTTTGCTCTGGTTTGCTGCATTGTTTGTGGATTCTGCGCAAAGATCTGTTTTTTATGTGAAGTAGTAGCATTGTAAAGCTGCACTGGATGAACATCACTGTCCTTTGTTTGGTGAATTAAGCAAGTGTTGCTCAAATTGTATCACATTATAAACATTACTACGTCTTTTTCGTGTTTCCCCCTACCTTTAAATTCTGTACATAGATATATCATTCACAGCATTAACTTCTTTGTTGCAGCCACATGTGCTGAGACCATTCAGACATTACAGGCCGAGGACAGCAAGGAATTTATGATCAACAAAGTCAAAAAGCAATCAGCTGTGCTGCAGAACACTTCATTAAACAATGCAGACCTCAAGCAGGCACTGAGGAGAGCCCTGTCCGAGAGCAGGCAGAAGAGATAATGCCATCAACGAAAGCCTTGATTGCCATGCCATGATTTAGGCTTTGGATCTTAGTACTGTTGGTGCATCCAAATGTGTGAGAGCAAGGGAAAGCGTTTGATTCTCTCAAGCAGGCTTGAGGAAGGATGTGGGACAGTCATCATTCCACTGGTATTAGGTCTGTTTTGTCACTATCCAGCTTAGAGGTGGGGAAGATTGAAGGTGTGTAGTATAACCTGCTGCTTTCTTCCCTTTTGTTATTATGAGTTCTGATGCAGATGTCAAAGAAGAAATAAGTATGAGGCCCAGTGCACATGCACGCACACTGATGCTGTCACTCCCATCGTCAGATTTCTTCACCTCTTTTCCCACATAAACTATTTCTGCTTTGCCTTGCTTTGGATACTTGTTGCTTCAAGAAAGCATATAGATTAGTGGAGAGAGTCCTCTGTCCTGACTCCAAGACCTAGAGGAGAGAGGAGAGGAGAGTAGGGTTGTCTTCCTGGATATGGCAGTACATCGCTTGTATGTCTAATGCATGTGCTTAACCAGTGCCTGCTTAGCCTTTGGGTGCTCTTCAACTAGACAAAAGGTGAATGAATGGGCTTCATTTACATCTTCTATTAATGGTGATCGATGATATATGAAGAAAGATCTTGGCCAGTGAGTTGTTTTGCCTGGCAAACAAGGGGAGAGAGATGAGTTCCACCCACCTTCTGCACAAATGACTGCTGAAGAATGTAGGGAGAGAACATCATCCTGTAGACCGTTGAATACCAATAAGGGGGGGATTCCACATGCTCATGTTATTTATCTGCACTAGATTCTCCAGCCATGACATGGAAACGCTTCATCTTTCATTGCTAGAAACCAGATTTAGAGCTTCTGATCACATGACTCGACACAAGAAACGATGAATATAATACAAAGAGTAGTCAGAAAACACTGCGACCTACTGAACCCCCACACTGCATGAACCAAATCCTAGAAATGCCGAACTCATTAGCCACTGCTACCGTCAACAGCAACATTAATGGCGCTGGTGGTGCCGGCAGCGGCAGGAGCAGTGGTACTGGTGCCATTACTGAGGCTCAGCATCATTTGCCGGATGCCCCGCGCGTACTCCAGCAACTTGTCGATCGCCGGAATGGTCTCCTTCACTTCATTCTGCTCCTCGAAGTCTTTAAGCCATGCGTGGAACACGGGGAAGGTTCCAGGGTCGACGAGCTTCACCTCCATG